AAAAAAAAAGAGGTTAAATGGTCGTATGACGTCTACAAAGTGAATAAAACGCCCTTCACATGGATGCCCCCTGTCTACAGATAGTGCAGTTGTTCCTCAAATGAGCTCTTTTCCATGATGCTCAGTCAAATTTCAGTATTTACCAACTAGCGCTCCCTAACCAAAAATGTTATCATGAATATCTCAAAAAAGTCTACGTCTTTCAGTTCTTCCATTATGAACATTTAGGAAGTTATCATCAAAATGCGAGCTGCAGTCCTTTGGTTTCTCATAGGCGTGGCTACAGCTGCCATCAGGCAACCACTGAACTGGCAAACATCTCCAAGAGTTAGTCTCGAACAATTATATCATCCATAAATGGAGACTGAAGCTTGTTTAGATTGATATGATAAGACGTGGAGTATACGAAGATTATCTGAGGATGATAAACGCTCTACGAGCGGCAACTCCGGGAAAGTTTCCAAATAGGGTAAATAATTTCTTGATGTTTCGGGTCTTAAAAATTTAGAGCGTGCCTCTTGAGTCAATTTTCTTTAGGCACTAGACTATCATGACTACGAATACGTCTCAAATATCACTATTGGGACACCACAACAACGTTTTGTAGTAGTTCCCGATACTGGGTCCGCAGACCTATGGGTACCTTACGTCAGATGCGAGTGAGTTGCTGTTAAGACATCATGGTGTCGGCTTTTCATGAAAATTCACTTTCTTTAAACCAATGGCAAAGGTTTTTCAGTACATTTTTTTCAGTACCTCATTAAGCTGAATATATTATACTATCCGATAAATGCCTTTTCCTATCCCTTCATAATTTTGAGAACTTGTCATACATACAGGAAGCAAAATGCTTTGAATGTTCAAAGATTTAGTCAATTCCAGTTCTACATGCGAAGGAAAACGCAAATTCTCTCCCAAAGATTCAAGTACTTTCGTTAGCAGTAACACAAGATGGTCCATCCATTACGGTTCAGGAGACGCAAAAGGTGTTGTGGGCAAAGATGTAGTCAGGGTAAAGAGTTATTATTTAACGAGTTCCTAACGGGGCCTCTCATTTTTTGATTGTCTGAGATCTACCACATAATTCGTGAATTGTCTTTCAGCTTGGAGGAGAGGATGAAGCACAGCTTGTAATCCCCAGCAGCGTATTCGGCCTTGCCGATCATACCTCTCCAGCTTTCAAAACGGTGATTTTTGATTGGAATAGGGTATTTTAACAAAATTTCTCTGAACATATCATTATATTCTCTAAATATAGAACCCAATGGATGGCATTCTTGGACTTGCGTTTCCGAGACTCTCAACAATTAAGGGAGGTCCCCCTCTAATTAACGCTATCAAGCAAGGTCAGTATGGATTTTTTACTGCAATTGCGCCAGGCTTCTTTGAAACAAGAGCTATCTTACCACATAATAAGCCGCAGACTCCCTCTTCCCCTATCACCAGTAAACAAATCGAACATTTGAGGACGCAGGAGGGAGAGTAGCTGACTCC